TTAGAAGGGTTTCATTGAAGTCCGACTGGGCTTGCGGGATCCTTTCGGTTCATTCCTACCATCCGCTGAGTGTATGACCATTCAAATTGAAAAAAAGCCATACATCGACTTCCAGCACCTTCCGAAGCTCCTTCGAAGATGAAAGAAAGGATCCGATGTGTGACACTGTAGCCGCTGCTTCATCCTCCTCTGCTGTTTCGTGTTGGTTTGGTGATCCCACAGTGCCGTCATCGTCCCCCCAGAAGTCGGTTTCAACGGCAAAGCTCCGGAAAGCCGGTGAGATGCGACGAAGGAGACCAGGAAGGTTGACATTGGAGACACTTTCACGGCGAAGCATAACGTTATCAGTATGTATTCACCTGCGTCTATGCATTTCCTCCTCAAGTCGCTAATGATTCCACGTTACAAAAGATCATCATAATTCACATCTTGGTTTCAAGCCATACCCATGTGCTCGGGATCATGTATTGCTTCAACACTCTAGGTTTTCTCCCTCTTGCTTCTTATGCTAGCTTTCCTTTTTCGTTTTGCGAACTTGACTGGTTGTTGCAATGACTCGCGTACCGTTATAACTTCGGAATTATAGTATTCTACTGACATGGGTTGCGGGCGTTGGACAACCTCCAACCAATGCTTACGTCCCCCATTAGACATTGTAATGGCTTTTTATTCCTCTGATATGTACTACTACCCCAGTGACTAGCAAATATTAGCTCGCCCAAATCACAGCCACGTCGTATTGGTTTTGATGCGTTTCCAAGAGGTGATGCGGTGCTTTATAACCCAACCACAAAAGCCGGGGACCATCCGACGCCGTCGTCGTCTAATACACACGTTTGAACGGAGGCACGGGCTTGCACTCGGTCTCGTCAAGTGTTGTGTCAATAACTTTGCGGTACTTCAGCTCGAAGTCGGCCCGAGAGCTGACAACGTGTTGGAATGAAAGGATATGTTTCATCCAGTTCTCGTCGTCACGCTGTTTTGGTTAAAAAGAGACATGAGTTGGTCACGAGAAAGAACACACGTCTGGGAAATCTTCACGAGCATGAGCACCACGAGACTCCTTACGGGCGGCAGCAGAGGTGATTGTTTGGATGGCGCACTGGAGGACATTGCGCAGTTCAAGCGTCTCCACGAGATCCCTACATCATATCCCACCCCAATCAGAACTCGGCACAAACGGTTCAAGGAAACGAAGCTCACGAGTTCCAAATCATGCTCCTGTCCTTGATACCGACATTATCAAAGTTTTTATAAATGGAGCGAACCTTCTCAACACCTTCGTCGAGAGTTTTTTGGGTCCTGAAGACAGCAGCATCGGTCTGCATGGCCTTTTGCATGTCAAGACGGATCTTGGCAGTTGGCTCTGGGGCCTAATCGAACGATTCGTCACCTACATTTTCAGAAGCTCACAACAAAAGCATACCTAATCTTGTCCAGGAACTCGATGCTCTCGAGGCCAGCCTCCTCAGGGATCGCCTTGTGCGGCTCGCCAGGTGTCAGTGTGTCTCGGATATGGTGTGCGACAGCATGGCCGAACACGACGATATCGAGCAGCGAGTTTGCACCAAGACGGTTGGCACCGTGCACGGACACACAAGCGGCTTCTCCGGCAGCGTACAAACCAGGGACGATCTTGTCATTGCCATCCTTGTCAATGGTAAGGACCTCGCCGGTGTATTTGGTAGGAATGCCACCCACTGAAAGAAAAGAACCATCGGAAACGATTCCATTCATCGAGAGAAGGATGCATACTGTTGTAGTGCACGGTGGGCAGAACCAGAATAGGCTTCATGGTGACGTCAACACCAGAGAAGATGGCGGCAGTTTCAGAGACATCGAGCAGCCGCTCGTGGAGAACTTTACCAGGAAGGTGGCTCAATGTGATCCTTTCCAGGACCCTACGACCTTCGCGAATTTCAAATGTCATGGAACAGGAAACGACATCACGCGAAGCAAGATCTTTCGCGGTAGGCGCGTATCGTTCCATGAACCGTTCACCCTCAGAGTTCAAGAGATACCCTCCTTCACCTCGAGAACCTAAAACCTGAACGTCAGCCAAACGCACTTGTTGATGGCTTGTAAGAACGTTTACCTTCTGCGATAAGGGATCCAGCGCCATAGATACCAGTGGGGTGGAACCGGACGAATTCCAGATCCTGAAGGGAAAGTCCGGCACGAACGACCATGACATTTCCATCTCCAGAGCAAGTGTGGGCGCTCGTGCAGCTGAAGTACGCTCGCCCGTAACCACCCGTCGCCAACACGGTCTTGTGCGAGCGGAAACGATGAGGTGCGCCGTCTTCCATGTTTAGAGCGATGACACCCACGCACGCGCCGTCTTGCATGATCAAGTCGAGGGCAAAGTACTCGATGAAGAAGTTGGTGCTGTGGCGCAGAGATTGGCCGTAGAGCGTGTGCAGGAGGGCATGTGGTCAGCGGCCGCGCACCGGTAGGCCGACTACGTTTCCCTATTTCAAAGATTGTTCAGCAAAAGCGCGTTGGTGGATCTTATCCTCTGATGTACGCGAGAAAGGCACGCCATAGTGTTCAGCCTGCACGGGCGAAATTCAGTCGATTGAGGGTCTGGGAAAATGATGGCTACCTTCATGACACTCGGAGCTTCTCTACACATGTAGTAGGTTGCGTCTCTGTCACCAAGCCAGTCGGGTCCTTTGATCTACAGCAGGGAGAAACGTCAGACGACGAAGCTCGGCAGGTGGTATGTGGTGTGGCACCCACAGTATCATACATATGCCACCGCCAATTATCTTCGGTCGTTCTAAATAACGCAAGTCAGATGAAAGACTTGCAGAAATAAGTTGAACATACCCCAAGAGCAGCATTGATACCACCCTACATAACTTAGCAATACAGCGGGACCACGAAAGTCGTTCAACGCACCTGAGCAGCGACAGT